TTACGATTTGAAGTTTCGTGCATAAAAAACAATTGAATATGTACTCAACAGTGCTCCTAAAAATGCTCAAATAGATACACGCACTTGAATACCATGTAAAGAAACCCTTTAATTACACAATGAAAACTCATAAATTTGAAAAAAATTATGTCAATTGCTCCATAATATTTTTGAATTCAAATTTGTATTTATATAAATGTAATAAATGTAATGTTTTTGTTCTCACTTTCGTTTAAAATTGTTTTTGTTAGACTCGCAGCTCGGGCATTATTAATTATTATTGATCAATGATCACTAATTAATTGTCTTCGTATTGATAATTTTTCAAATTTTTCTCCAACAAAGTTAAAGCTTGTTCATATAAAACGGAATTCTTATATAAAAAAGCATTAATAGTGTGCAAACATAATTAAAAACAATTTAATGATCTTTAAATGTAAAAAATGCTTATTTATGCCATTATATACGAAATACAATTTCACACAATATTGAATTCTGTCACCTCGAAGAAAATTTGTATATGTTCCGTTATACAACTTAGCACGATTGATACCTATATGCAAATTCATGAACTTAACAGCCTTCGTAATAACACACCATAGAATAATATTATTTTGTGAGTGTTCAATTAGAATAGGCATTAAGTGGCATTTTTTAAGTTTAAAATGACATTTTTTATCATCTACAGCTCCATTCGAAATGTTGTAATCACAACAATACGATGAAGCAAATATACCTACATCGTCGATATACTTACTTGATTACCCGAATAAGCCAAATTAAATAGCCAAGTAAATACCAAAGTTATACCTACACAATGAATTATTATATTATTATTTATTACAAGTAACAACTATTAGTAAATATCATACTATGTCCATAAAAATCATGTGGATACCAAATACCAATACTAAATTTTGCTTCGCTCTCCCGTGAGATGCAAAAGGATAAAGGAGTGACTTGATACATTTTAGTAGAACGATAATATTATATTAAAGAGTAAACGTAATGTTTTTGTATTTTTAGCTTTTGTTTTGTTTTAAAAATATGCCACCTATATTAAATACGTTTGTATTTCGTACATTGCCACGGCGCACTTGTCCTATAGCGTGGCTATACGACCACTCGTCTACAATTATTTTCCTGCACAACAAACGTTGTGCTCCTGACACTGCCGCACTCAACCTTTTTGTTGCTATTGGGATACATACGCATATTATTTTTATTACGATACATGTGCGATGTGCCGCAAGTATGGTAAATAGTAATTAAGGTGCCTACGGCGTGGAAGGTAGTTGTTACTCACAAATGATAAAAAATAAAACAATTAAAAATAAACGTATACTATACGGTCAAATATATTTTTTAACATTTTAGTATATGATTTATTATTGTATAAAATAATTAAATTGGTGTGGCTTTTGAATATTTTTTTTTTTTAGAAAATCTTGGTGGTTTGCAGGCTGTTGAATATGGCTCTAACATAATATTCTAATATTCTCAGCGTGTTACCGTGCTATCCAATGTTTACCCACACCGTTCGGTGGGCAGACATTGGTAATTCGAGTAAATATTTTGCCCGTGTCAAAGTGTAATATAATATATTTTATTACACATAAACCGAAGACCGTATTATTATTATTTGTTAAGCTAATTAACTCTTATAGTTCTAAATTATAATTTATTTTACATGAACAATATGTGTTCTACATTTTTTTGATCTTCAAGGAAAGTATGATGATATTTTAATTGTAAATTATAAATGTAATTACAATGATATTATGAAAATACTATTCAAGGCAGATCAAAGCATTTTACTGGATATAAATTATACACGTCATTAGAATTAGTCGTATTAAAATACACGTGTGTACAAGTATTTATGCGTGTAGGTACGATAATATAGTGTGTATCTATTAATTGAGAAATCCCTTATTTTGACTAAACAAACACAAAAAGTTGCATAATTTTCAATTTTGTAATTTTTGTCTTCTCATACACAGAACCCATGTAATCAAAAGGATATTTTTCTGCGTACTCCCCATCACCCCTCCTCTTATTGTACCCGTCATTGCACACACTTTTAGGGTCTAGGACAGTGTTTCCCAAAGGATGTGCCGCGGCACACTAGTGTGCCGTGAAATTTGAAAGGTGTGCCGCGACAACTTGAACTTTTTTTTATAAAAAAACATAAAATGATTTTTTCAAAATATTAAAATATATAATAAAAATAATTAATACAAAAATTAACTTTAAATTTACAAATAAAAAGATATAATTATAAATTTTAGTGTGCTTGATGTTGTTTGCATAATAGTTCAATTCTAGTTCTATGATATTCTGTGATATATAAAACGATAATAATAATGATAATCATACCCGACATCATTATATACCTATTATTCGATAAGTATATAATATTTATCCAAAGTGTGTCATGACTTATAAAAACTAATAATAATGTGCCACGATGGGAAAAAGTTTGGGAACCGCTGGTCTAGGAGTATATCGAAGTTGAGACAATAAGACCTCGTTAGCTCAGTGATTGACGCGTCGAGTAGGTGGTTCAAATCTATCGTTGCCAGACATTACCTATATACATTGCCTACACATAGTACTTTTATCGTATAATTTTTTACGTATTCCTCCAAAATCCGCAAAATTTGGACATTTTTTATCAAAATAATAATTCAAATAAACATGTATTCGAATAAGAAATTATTCGGTCGATTTTTTGTACAATTATTGTTCAAATAAAAGTTACTTAATATCTTCGAGGAATACAGGCAATACGAAAAACAAAGGGACATAAGCCACTTTATTGGAACAAGTCTAGGTCAAAATCCAGACACTGAAATCAATACAGTAGAGTTCTTTAAAATAATACAAATATTAAACCTATTATAAGATAAAACCAACAATTGTAATGTACATAAATAACTAAATTGTATTTTAAAACAGTATGTATTTAATTATTTATTTATTTAGTTTTTTTATTGCTTCTATTTATATTTCTCTCTCAATTTTTAATTGAATAAGTTATTATTAAAATATAAATACATGCACAAATGTTATGCTGATGGCCTTAGATGTCAAAGCAGACATTTATAATTTCAAGACCAATAAAAAAAATATATTTTAACCACAATCGTTTTTTTTTTTAAATATTTGAATAAAGAATGATTGTTTTAAATTCGATTGTTTGTATTTTTAAATTATTTGAATAGCTAGTTATTTTAAAAATTAATTCGAACACACTTTCATTCGAATAATTACGACAAATATATTCAAATACATTTTTATTTAAATCTAAATAAAATCGTATTCGAATAATGTCCTACTGCAGTGCCGATGACCGGTGGGCAGTGGCCTTGCCATCTCACGATTACGATTATCAAATCGCATGAACTGGTTTCAGGTTAGTTATTTAGTTTATTCAGGTTAGTAAGTAAACAATGTCATAGAATGCGGAGTAAAGTATGTAGAGAACAAAATATATAAATATTTGACTAGATATCAGACCTTCAAACATTTTTGTCACATGTAATTAAAAAATAAAAATTAGAATGCCTTTATTTTAGGTCAATTTAATTACAACAGCGTTACAATATTTATTTTATAACGGATTTTAAATTTAATTAATAATACGAATTTGTCAACGATGCGCGCAAAACCGGATTCGTTACAATGTACTTTTTATTTTTAATTACGAACGCAGTTTTTTTTAAATATTATCGAAATTATCGTCAGACATTTTAAACTTTTAAAGACAGGACACATCTCTTAATTATCGTGCAGTGTGACACTTATAAGTTATAAGTTATGGTATTATATTAATATTATGGATCACCCCATAAGTATTGTGACCACTGTAATCTACACAAACGTATAATTTTTATGAGGCAATAATACAGTACCAACTGTTTTCGCCCTAAATTTAATTTATCTACTAAACAATAATTGTAATTAATAATTTTAAAATACTTATGTTTTATATAATCATTATATTATATAATAATATTGCATTATATTGAATCATAGTAGGTATATTAATTAAATAGTATTAGCTTCATAGTGTTATTTGTTTGAAAACTGATATCGTAAACATTTGAAAAAGTAAATATTCTTATGATATTACTATTTACATGTACATTATATATTATTTCTAGTGCTAAGGTTTATAAAAAGGTTGTATAAAAAGGTATAATACAGATTTAATTTTGTTCAAATATGCTAAAATATGCAATAAAAATACAACAAAATATACAGTGAATTTACTAATGTTTTTTCAACTATCATTAAGTAAGAGAAAAGCATCTTATAATAATTTTAAAACAGATTAAGATGATTTAACAAAGTTGCTTTTTATGAAAGCTAAATCACTTTTGTTAGTCTTACTTTTAAATAAATTTAAACCATTTTACGCCAATGACGACATCACTGGTTTTATGTAATTGAAAATAGGAGAGTAATGTATGACGTATCGTGTAGGCTTTTCACTACTTTCGTTTTTAATAAACCATACTTAAGCCATTGAATTTTTCATGTTTATATTTAAAATATGATGCAAGGATATGCTAAATAAAAAAAATTGATAGTTTGTATCAGATTTGTATGAGATGATTCGTGGGCATTACACGTCTTACCAAATTTGTAAAAGGACTCTACAAAAACACATGTCATGTGCATATTATAAATCCGAGTACTAATTAGGTATTCACATAGTTACACCATATTTACACAATATTATAGTTTTATTTATTTGTTTTAAACTACTTAAAAACAAAATATAATTCTACAAAACTATAAAAGTATCTATAAATAAATACATTAACAATGTTTTGTAGGTACGATATTATTCATTCCCACAAGCTTATTAATTTTAAAGGATAAATAATTGTATTGCATTATATTTGAAATATTGAATGTAGCATTTAAAAATCTTTTTTTAAACAAAAAAAAGTAATAGTAAAAAAAAAATGTGTCTATAGCAGTATGAACATTACACAAAAATGACGTTTAAAAAAAAAAAAAAACGCTTACAATTATTTATATTTACTACCTTAGTTCTACTATTGTATGACATAATCTTCGTACCTAAATAGATATATTTCAAGTATCCATAGATGCTGCGTGAGCAGTACCCAATCTGGCGTATTATTATAGCTGGCTCATTTTTAATAAACTTAGATACCTGCCCGTGTGGTATTGCCGTTTATTGTGTAAACAAATATATTATGCAAACATTCATGTAGTCATTCTTATTTTGATTCCGCTGAGCCATATTGATTTTCTTTCCATTTTCATAGAACATTAATGAAATATCTACATCTTTTCAATCACGAAATGTATCATACATCCATACCACCATCATATTATTCATTATCCAGGGTTTATATTCCGGATGTCGACTACACAATAAAGCCCAAAAATGAGAAATAATTGTTATTGGGATTCTGATGTTCATTGTAACGAAACCATTATATTCTTAGAATTGTACTCGTGACATCCACAAAGAACTATCCGCGTACCAAATTAACGTCGTGGTTATTCAACAGCCATAAAATGGCGTTTTTACAAAAAAAAAAATCAGTTTTACGAAAATCTAAATATTTTATTACTAGCCTGATTATACTTTAACATTATATACTATAATAGTAACTATTAATAGTATATTCCTAGTAAATAGTTGCCAGAAGTTCTAAAATTGTTTACATGTAGCTCGCCTTTATTTTAATGAAAAAAAATATTAATATCTACATTTTTATATTATCATTTACTATACCATGCAGTGAAATAATGTAATATTATCATCATGATTAATATAAGTGCTTGCTCTATGTACAGAGAAAAGTAAATTCGATTTGAATCCGAATGCAAAAAGGACGCTATTCTAAACAAACTTTAACTATACGACCATTTTTTAGAGATATATTTAAGTCTTTATTCTGCAAAGTGTGAAATTACCATGAATTTATTCATGTATTTTCCTAGTAAAAATAAAACGTTGTTGGATTTAAATTAAACAGTGACTGAGCTATTTGAAATACAATTTGTTATCAAAACCTTCGCACACTTACCCAGAATATAGGATTCAATTAAAACTTTTATTCTTAGTGAACGATATTTTGTGATCTTCACATGATTCTGTGACCTACACATTTAAATAGACCAACTTATCGCACGTCATGAAATCACGATAGTTAAACGGTATTTGATCGTGTTGCGATTTTGCATACCTAGTCATGCATTAAATATGATTTTCAGCATCCCGCCCGTAAATTATTAAAAAAGATTTTTTCAGAAAATTAAAATGTATCAATAACACTAATCAATAATAATTAATACACTATACATTTACACTTGTGTTTAGGCTGTAATCGACGGTGTACCTAAATGAAAACGTTCAATAACTAATGATACATTGATAACAAGTTTGGAAATAAAATAATTTAATTATTATACTTAATAGAGAAACACCAATAACGCCATTATAGTGATGAATTTGTACGAATGATTAATAATGCGATAGCACACCACTTATAAACTTATATATATACGTATATGAACTAGCTGTATAACTCGACTTCGCTTGGGAAAAAAAATGATAGAACATCGAATAAGGCGATACATAGGTTTATTTCGGTTTTAGTGTACCTCAGTGGTCAGTTCACGGACAAATCAGTATTGGTGTACCTCGCTTTGTAAACTCATTTTGCCGAGATGACCAATTCGCCTCGGTGGATTGGATATTACAGCACTTGGCATAATTCCCAATGTCGTTCAAATCGCTCTCTAAACTTTCCTGATATCTCTAAGGACAACCTCTGAAACTTTCTTAAAAATCGGTCGAGTTGTTTTTGAGACTATAGGCTACGAACATAACAGCATTGTCTTTTGTTGTAAATTTTAATACCGAAAAATCAAAAAAATCTCAATCTCATAGCAATGGTGAATCCGCTATAATCTACCCAATTTTTTTTTAATCATATTGATTATGTCACTTATAGCAATGATGTTATGTTATATATACACAAACATTTATTCGATTTTCGTGAGCTAAAACGAAATGTATGCAATCGCTGTATTAGAGTTTTAAAAGGGAACTGAATCTTTGTATAGAAATTGGTATAACTTATTTAAATCGGTATGAGATTATTTCTAAGATTAACCGTTAGTAAAAAAAACTCATTTCACATTATCAAAAATATACTTTTGCATTGGTGTATGATACACGCATTTGAATATTATTATTTTTATAAATACTGACATTATAAATTTTACGATATATAATATTGTATAGTACATATTATGCTTGTTAAATATACATCTTCAGTTTTCAGAATAATTTCCATAATAATCAAAAGAGACTACTGAAAACTTGGTGTACATGTATAAAGACCTATAGGTACTCGTTTTCGACGTCTCTTCGATCAGTATACTCTCACAATAATGTATTGATTCTCAATAATGTTTCGTTGTTGACACAGCACGTCGCTTTGTTCTATACATAAAACACCGATAACCACTCAATATATTTTTTTTATTAACGTTTCTTTTTAAATGGTTTGTCTTCACTCTGAGCACTATCTTGTTTGAAAAAAACACCATGCGTATCGGTTGTATAAAACTTCAAATATTATATCTGTACAAAATAACGCACCAAGTTTTAACTTTTTATAATAATAATATATATAAGACAGGATGAAATATAAGGTTATTTATAAGTATATTTTTTGGTTCACTAAATTAATTTGACATTCGAAATTTCATAAGAAACATAAACTTATACTATTTACTTTACGACTGAACACTCCACATAAACTTTGTTTGCTAAGCTTCATTCGTGATTGAACTTATAGTAGCTCACAATATTCTTTACTCTTTTTATGTGATTAACAATTGTTTGACTTTCATACTCTATTTTAAAAAATTGAATTGTATTATTTAAAGACTTAAAACTATAATATTTAAATAATTTTGAACAAAATATTGAAATATACATACATGTATACAGCATTAAAATTTGGCAGTGCAAATAACGATGATAATAACAACGAGAACAAAAAAGTAGAATAGAATTCCAACGTAATTTGTATGGTTATACAAAAGAAAACTCACATAGGTAACTAAATAGTAAATAGGTACCAACTAATTAAATATAATATAGCTACAGTTATGATTATAAATAAAATATAAATATGCAACGCAATAAGAAAAATGAATAAGAAAGTGTTATATTCAAGTGAAAATTCATTGAATATATTATGATCTAAGTTTGTATAAATTAACTTTATTCGTTGTTTTAATTCCAAAGCCCGATATAAGTTATTTAAGCTGTTCTTATAAGTAACAGCTAATTGATGTGTCGACATCATAGTAATTTATTCATAACAATATGCCGAAATCATTGACTTGTAAAACGACTAAAACACTAATTTATGACTGTGTCACTATTCTGTAAATCAATAGTACACCTGTGCATCGTGCGGGGTATAGATAATATAAAATATACGAATTTCATAATAGTTTACTATAATTATAATAATTAGTCGAATAGGTGATGAATACAGTAATCCATACGTCAAGTACCCAATGTTCGTGTACACAGTACTTTTTTTAAATACCTATGAGGTTGGATGGGTATTAAAATTCATCGAAACATTGCGTATAAATTGTGGTGAAAAATAGCTAACAGAGTTTGGAATTTCGATCGATTGCGTATGCCGCCAACAAAAAAATATAATATTATTTACCAAATAAACGTTCGGTGCTTTATGGCGCGAACTCGCACGAGCTTGTCAAACAATATTGAAATCACACGATTGTTTTTCGGCCAAAAATCCCGACGAAAAAAAATGTCTGTCTAGTCGGATGTGCCAGTTGAATATTATGTGCGTGTTGTTTAAAGTCCCACGCTTAGGAATTCGTCCTGGATTGTGTGATGCATATAATGACATATATATATATATATGTAAGTATACCGTATAGTCTGCGTAGGCTTAAAACTATACGGCGGCGAGACCGACACCAGAAACAGCGCTGACCTTTGAAATTAAAACTAAATTAATCACTGCTAAAGCTCTCCGCGTTTATGTCTGAAACGCATAAAAGCCGGCGTCCTTTGTACAATCATCCGCTTCGCTTCTACCACGGTCGTTCAAAGAATCTGATTTTTTTTTTTATATTTTCTATTAATTAATTCGCCGAACACAGTCACGACTAATATACCTAACTCGAAAGCGCGTTTAATAATAATAATTATGTTTAGTTATTAACTATCATGATGGTGATCGGTGATGCATAAGTCGTGGAGAAAACGTTATTTGAATCATTCTTTATTGTTTTGGACACATTATTGTGTCAACTGTTAACAAACTTCCGACTTGCGTACACAACATGTATGTATGACATATGACGTAGGTATTTAAATAATACCAAGTATTAAAAAAAAATATATGACAGGAAAAAACAAACAAAACAATAATAATTATAATTGGTTAGTGTAAAAATATTATGCTTTTTCGCAACACGTTATAATCTACAAAATATACGAAATTTACAAAACATCAAATCATCACACCTGCAGTACGAAAGGATTTTTAAGGAGTTTTTTTTACACCCCTAGATAGACTGTAAGCTGAGCGCTGAGCTCGCTGCACTTTAGGCTTATGTACCTAATTATTTTTTATTAGATCGCTTAAATTGTAAACATTTTTTTTACGTTTTACCGTTTATTTCCACGGAGATCATTGTGACAATTAGATGATATTATATTCTTCTGTCGTCCATCGAAGCAGTTTATTATAATAAGATCTACGTCGCGCGCGGCTTATAATCGTTTAACATCTTAGGTATCTTCCTGGGATTTTTCTATACAGTCGAAGAAATTTTATTTTTTCTTATCCCCCGAGGACGAAGTATCTACGTAATCTATCTTTTTGATTTTTTTTCATGTCTACAAATTTTACGTTATTTCACTATTATAATAGCATTATGGTGTAGGTATAGTATAACGCCCGAAAAACACATTATGTTAATACACCAAATAGACAAACCGAAAAAAATAAGCCCATAGGGATTTATAATATACGTCGTATACACATCTTATGTTTGTGTAACTGTACGTCAATATACAGACATCACGAGAAAATCGTACAGTGTAAACAGTCACCATTTTGGAATTCAAAGTATCGTAGAAAAAACATACAATTCAATGAATAAATACTTGTTAACGTCTATTTAAATATGTATGTATGTAGGTCCAGGAAAAAACAACGTCTTAAAATGTAAAATGTACCTACTAAAAACAGTTATTTATTTAAAAATGCTTTACTTTTTATTTTGGAACAATATGCTTAAATTATATATAAGGATTTCAAGACAAACAGAAATTTTAACAAAGGCAAAACAAGAGATTTTAGCTTTTAAAAAACAAGTATTCACATTTTTTTTGTAAAATGTTGAATGCAATAACTGTAAACAAAAAATATGGCGCGTTAATTTATTGCTAATATTTAAAAACGTATTCTCGTCTAAACGCAGTATCAGTAGGTTTGTAGGTAAAAGTCTCATTCACATTTCACATTTTAATGTATACTGAAAAACTGGACCATACTTTTTTCCGAGGTTTTGACTAAATATCAAATAAAGAACGTTGTGAGAACAACTAAACGTCATTTAAATCATTTACTTCAAACTAGGTAGGTACCTACCTACTTTAAATTCGTTATCCGGCGTACATGTTAAACAGTCTAAAAACATATTATATGCGGTATTCATCACGCTGAAACAAATTGAACTAATGATTTCATTTTAATTACTTTTTTTTTCAAATCAATCATAACGTCCATTCATATAGTTTTACACTTATCCAAGTACTCGTCGTTATACTCGGACGAAATAACAAATATTAATAATAACGATAATAAATGACCGGTGCGGTATATTAGGCATAGAAACTTCGAACAATGTGCCAACAATTGTACAGGTAATATACCATACGTCGTCGCCTATACAATATGCTTCATTAAGTTTTGCAATAACAATCAAACCGACGAAAATCGTAATAGATAAACGTTCGGTTGTGATTTATTTTTTTCAATGTTTTTGTTTTGAACACCTGACCGCTGATCAAAGGTTATTGTGGCCGAGATAACGTCATAATCGGCTACCACACACTCACGAGTACACACACGCTCACACACGCTCACACACACACACACACACACACACACACACACACACACACACACACACACACTCGATATTATCTGTTCACAGGAGGAGTAGAGAAAACCGGTAGGATGGCACACTATAATACCGGTCAAAACGTCCGGTCTCCGTATCAGTCGGCAACTACTACAACAGCCGACTTCAGCTAGTGCACCGGTTGTCGATTTCGCGCTCGTCCTGTTCCTGCTGCACTTGTTGATCGATGTCAATATCACATTATTATTTTTATTATTATTATTGTTGAGTAGTGCATAGATAAGCCGTTTCGCGAATATTATTGTAAAACAATCATTTCGAGAGACATGCATTGCTCCGTCGACAAGGCGTTGCTGGTGCTGATCGCTTGCACGAGTGCATATGCAGTACCCTGGAGGAAAATCGAACCCACACCAAAATGTGGATACGAGGTACGGTCATTTGAATAAAATTTCACTGCAAATCGCGGTCTGATATAAGCGAACCAGTCGTTTGGTCCGCACAATAAACTAACGTAACGTACAACGACTAATATAATGCGCTCGTACTAAATAATATACTGTACTTCATTATTGTTACTGCAGTAGGCCTAAGTACTCTGGTATACAATAATTTAGTAATATTCATCGATAGGTACGTTTTTTTGTAGATATCGAAAACAGAATTAAATACTAATTGTAGACTCGCTGTAGAAAGATAACAATCACATTGCATTTAAATGTTTTTTTTTTTCGTTAAACACCCTTGTAAACTCTTTGATTATTTATAGTTTATACCTACGTATATTATAAGACTAAAAATAAAAACCTCAGGTACATTAATTATTTTTTATAAAACGTAATCAAATGTTATGATAATCAATATTTGAGTTAAACAGTAATCGTTATTTACATAGGGTGTCATAAGGTCGCATAGGATGTCATAAGGTCGTCATAAATTCGATAATGATACAACGTGAATGAATTGTCAAAATATATGTCTGTCTAATAAACTTATTCAATATTTCTTACTTATAAAATAATAGATAAACGTAATTCTTCAAAAGATGATCAGTATGGGGACATTTTGGAGTATTGATTTGTTAAGCAAACGTGTTGTCATCTAGTGATTGAAGTTTGTTTTTATATAAAACATAGATACTATTAAAATCCATATTAAATATTGGTAAATAATACAAATCTAACCGTTTGAGATTTTTCAAACAGTAATAAGAATAATATTATGCAGCTATTTTCATAAGAACAAAAACAACACGCTAATGATATTTATTGAATATTAGCATGGATATAAATTAACAATTAAAAACATTTATCGCCTCGGTAATATTTAAACAGGAGTGTAATTGGCATTAAAGTGGCAATTAGATCATACCTATTATATCAAACCCTTTGTTTTGGTAGGACCCGATTGCGTATATTTTGTCAAATAACAAAAGAATTCCTTAAATATACGGCATGGTCCTTACTAAATAACCTTTAATATTGTCAAATTTACAATATAATGTACCCACAGTTTTTCACACAAAACAATCAAATTAAAAGTTCTTTGTGAGCTTATAAATATAATCAACCCATGTTTTAAGAATAAAAATGAATTTATCTATACAATAAACAATCTTATATGATACTATTATCAACTATGATTAAATATCGTCGTTCAAATAATTTTAAAAAAAAAAATAATTTAATCAAATATTAGAAAATATTAAAATAGGGTGCACCCTCAAAATATCCCCGTAAAAAATATCCTACATTCAAAATATCTCCAGTAATATTATCCCTTATTAACTCATATTTATATTTTTTTATTTTTTAAAATAATTTTATAAATTTTAGTTAACATAGATGGCTCCAGGTTTGGTTTTTTAATTTTTAAAAATTAAAACATTTCCGAATATGTTTCTATTGTTCTGTCAGTCATTAAA